GATGGTTCAGGGTCCAGTTTACGTGCAGTTCATTGGTTACAATACTTCCTTGGGAAGTGGGAGATCCCTTTCGCATCAGGAGGGCCCAAACTTCTACTTTCCTTTGCTCTTTTTATTAGGCCACCATATTAAAGTTTACAGAATGTTTATGGGCACCTTGAATAAAATCTGCTTTATAAATGAAAATCATTGGACTTGTAAAGATCATTGCATGAGTTTTTCCTTATATCTCATTTGAAGCTCTCTTGTTTCAACTCGTGCTTGTCTTGCTTGTGTTGGAGACTCCCCAAACTGGACAGGATATTCAAGATGTACCAGTGCACACTGCTGACAAGTTGTTGTATGTGAAGGTCCCTCAGGTCCCTTGAAGGTGATCTGTTCCCCAGCCAGTTGGTCCCTCCCCAGTTTTCTTGCCACAGGTTCCTCCTTTACTGGTGCGGAATGTTGCATTTGTCCATGTCGACTTTTAGGGTTCCTCTGAATGACAACCCTGCCCTGAATCACATCGACCAAGCATAGTGGCCTCAGGTTGCGCCAGGGGAGGGTTAAATTGGATATTAGGAAACATTTCTTTACTGAAAGGGTTGTCAAGTGCTGGCAGGGGCTGCCCAGGGCAGTGGTGGAGTCCCTATCTCTGGAGGGGTTCAAGAAGCACCTAGATGTGGCACTTGGGGACGTGGTTTAGTGGCCATGGTGGGGTTGGGTTGACACTGGACTTGGTGATCTTAGAGGTATCTGCCAACCCTAATGATTCTGTGATTCTGTGACTGATCTCCCCAATCCATCATGCGCAACTTCACAAGATTACACGCCATTGCTGGCACCAGGTCATATCAGTGCCTAATACGGAGATCAAGTCATCTAAAAATTAAGTGCAGAGAAACAGAAAACATAAAGCTCACTATAAAATTCTTTCAGTAGTACTGTAAGTCCATGATAATTTTCTGTGACTCAGTGCATAAGGAAGGTGACCATCAAGAAGGTGCTCAGCTTTCTAGGCATCGCAGTAACAATTCTGGTATGGATTTCTAGCTCATGATACAAGACTATGACATTGTCTTGTGTTCTTTGGAAAATGTTTACATTTTGGAAAGACTCTGTATGTCTCTTCTCAATGCTTTCTTGTCTACATATGCATAGTCCTGAGACTACTACATATTCAGCGTCCTGAGACTTTCTCATTCATTCAGAAACTGTACTATTAAAAACTTGTAAAAGTTTTTAGGCTTTCTGCTAAACTCATAAGTTAACATGATCTAGTTTTGATATGCAAATTAGTTTTTGAAACCACACATTGGGAGTAGTCCGTGTTGGGCTGCATCGTTCTGTTTGTTTTTACTGCTACATAAATTCAGAACCTGGGTATTTTTTTGAAGGACGTGTTATTTACCTGTGCGAATTATTCTATGTGGCAGAGGTTTCAACTTATACTTTTGTTAAAAATAGCTGAAAGATGCTTATGTTCAATTAAATCTGGGTGCAGAGTGTGTTTTCTTCTTCTTTTCTTAAGGAAACTAAGCTCTGGTGTTTGCTTCTAGACTGACTCTGAAATGAATCAACAGTATTATTGTGATCTAATTAGTTTGGGACCGTGATTCAGCAAAACCAATACTTTTATCACAGAATCCCAGAATCCCAGACCATTAGGGATTGGAAGGGACCTCCAAAGCTCATCCAGTCCAATCCCCCTGCCGGAGCAGGAACACCCAGATGAGGCTGCACAGGAAGGCGTCCAGGCGGGTTTTGAATGTCTGCAGAGAAGGAGACTCCACAGCCTCTCTGGGCAGCCTGGGCCAGTGCTCTGGCACCCTCACTGAGAAGAAGTTTCTTCTCAAACTTTATCTGTTAAGTTCATTTAAGTGGATGGGATATTGAATAATTTTCCAAGCAAATTGAAGTGTCTGGCATAGAGAAAAGAAATTAAATGATAAATAGGTGATATGATGTGTACAAGGTCTGATACTTGGGTGACAATGCTGGGACCAGAAGAGATGTCTTCTCTCTGCTGGCCTCATCCATGGGACGTGTTAGAGCAGGCGATGCTAGGATGTTCCACTGATGAACACTGAAGGTTATATTGCTCTTCCTCTTCTTTGTAGTTTCTATTAAGAAATACTTTTGCATTAATCTACATCAGCCTTTTCTTTCATCTTAGAGATTTTGTTTTTTTATTTTTTCCCTAAGAAATCTGTTTTCACAGAAAATGTTAGGTTTATCTTAAAGTTCCTAAAATAGAAGTTGATTTTATTTTCAAAATAGTGATGAGAAAAATGTTCCTGCCGGTGTTTCCTAACTTAGAGTTTAAGAAAAAAATAAATTTTTCTGGTCACCAGTCATTATAATCATTGAAGTGGATTGTATCAACAAAATCAGGAAATACACTGTCTCCATTGGCTCTTAAATCAGTTCCAAATATGTAGAAACAAGAAAGCAGGCTACTAGGGTTTCATATAAGCCCGTGAATATTTCCAGATGGAAGTTGTGTCCCCAATACGGCCTAATTATTGTACTCATCTCAGGTTGCAGAACTAAATTAAAAATATCTACATACTGGGCAAAAAGAACAACCAATATTAGTAACCAATGTAGTTATAAGAGGCATTAATTCACTTTCTTCCTATTGTATTCAATGAGAATTAAATAGATATAAAACTTATCTGAGAGTCGAGTTAGACTCCAGATTCGTCCTTTGTTTTTATATGAATGATCAAGTGCCAGGTCGCCACTCTGTGAGTGGAATAAAAGGAAAAAATAATCTTAACATCTGAATGCTGCTGTTTAGATAGCAGTGACACCCCTCAGTTCAAGAAGGACAGGAACTGCTGGAGAGAGTCCAGCGTAGGGCTACAAAGATGATCAAGGGAGTGGAGCATCTCCCTTATGAGGAGCGGCTGAGGGAGCTGGGTCTCTTTAGTTTGCAGAAGAGGAGACTGAGGGGAGACCTCATTCATGGTTATAAGATTTAAAGGGTGAGTGTCACGAGGATGGAGCCAGGCTCTTCTCGGCGACAAACAATGATAAGACAAGGGGTAACGGACACAAACTGGAACACAGGAGGTTCCACTTCAATTGGAGAAGAAACTTCTTCTCAGTGAGGGTGACAGAGCACTGGACCAGGCTGCCCAGAGAGGTTGTGGAGTCTCCTTCTCTGCAGACATTCAAACCCCACCTGGACGCCTTCCTGTGTAACCTCATCTGGGTGTTCCTGCTCCGGCAGGGGGATTGGACTGGATGAGCTTTTGACGTCCCTTCCAATCCCTAACGGTCTGGGATTCTGGGATTCTGTGTGGCACGTTACTATTCATGTCTTTCTTATTTGTAGATCTCCATTATTTAAAATGTATGAGCCTTTGCTTCAAATGTCCAAATCCTTGAGGTACGTTGGCAATGTCTCAAGCACCACTTGTGAACTTCTTGTGCTCTCTTGCTAGCACATGTCCTATATGATATCATTATTATATTCGAGTTGGATCTCTTGACATGCCAGAGTCTTTTCATGGTTGTGTTTTTGTATTTTTTTAATGCTAGAAACAAAACAAAATAATGAAGAAAAACAGCAGCAAAGCTTTTATGAGGGAGTTGCCATCAAGAAGAGTGCACCATGATTTCTTTTTGACAGTGATTTACTTTGGGGATGCTGTTTTCTCTGTGTCTGTTATAAGAAGTGATAGCAAAGGTCTTTTCAGTTCAATTTGGGATTTCTTATGTGTTGTGCTGTATCTGGACTCACAGCAGCTCAGTGCATTAACAAAGGTTTTATGCCAGTGCTGGTGCCCCTCCTGTGCATATGCATGTGGTGTTTTCAAGCCCTGATCATACTTTTTGTTTCCTTTTCTTTCCCATCTTCCATAGTCTATAGTTTTTTAGATATGATTTGAGAAAAAAAAACCCCAAGACTATGTCAAAGAGCAAAAAGAAGCAGCTCAGAGAGTATGACACAAGGCTCCTTGGTTACAGCTGTACTAAACACCTTGTCACGCTCCTTGTAATTGGGGTGAGACGACAGGGAATTTTTATATTGGAGATCTTTTGCTTTGTAGTGCGCTGTCTTTATTGCAAAGGTTTTCATTTTGTTACAGTACCTTTCTGGTTTAGTACTTAGGACTTGGATCACTTCAACTGCTCTGGTCTGTGGCCTGGTTGGGGTGAATTGCATCCCTGAGCGTTATGGATCCATCGTGAGCTTTTCAACACCTGAGGATATCTGAATCATTTTCCCTGTTTTATAGACAGGCAGCCTTTTACTATTGGAGTGATGTATGATTATTTTCTTGTCCAACAAAATGCTGTGGTATGTGCTGTGCTGTGTTGTCAAGCTTTGTGGTTGAAGTTTCTAATCCGTTTATTGACAGCTCAATAAGGAATTCCTGCAGGAGATGCTACAAACAAGGAAGCAGATTTTATTCCTATTAAATACCGAGGAGAAGGTGGGATCATTTTACTGTCTGCTGTTGTTTTATGCCATATATTACAAATAGAATGGAGCAATGCTAGCCTGAATGGGTTTAACCTGTCTAATCTCTGCAGCAGGAGTTGCTCATTCCTTAACATCTGGAAAACAGCCCCAGTGGTTTTGTCACCACAACTGGCAGTGCTTCTCTCAAGGGACGATTGCTTCTTGAATGGTTTCTGACCCACATGTGTTAGGTTTTCCTTTTATTGCCTTGTTCATTTTTATATAATGAAAACCAGCGACAAAAACGATGCTTTAGCACCAGTGCCCTTCCATAGCTGGTTCTTATCTTTTCCTCCTTCACTGCTCGTGATTTGCTCAGCCCAGACTAAATGGAGGTTAAAAGGAATAAAACCCTTTTTTGAGGTATGTGCTGCCATGCTTTGGATTTTAAACGTGAAATTGTATGTATTCAATACCTGCGACCATTACCTCATTTCAAAGGTAAAGAAAATAGCGAGAGTATTGAATGAGGTGGCCATTTCTTGTGCTATTAATAGTTGAAGAATTGTGCAAACTTACCAAATCTCGGTTTTCTTTCTTAAAGGTAACAACACTTGTTAACACAAGCAATAAAGGACCTTCGGGCAAAAAGAAAGGGCGCTCGAAGAAGGCTCACGTGTTGGCCGCTTCGGTAGAGCAGGCCACGCAGAATTTTTTGGAAAAAGGAGATCAAATCGCTAAAGAGAGCCAGGATCTCAAGGAGGAATTGGTTGCTGCTGTGGAGGATGTACGCAAACAGGGTAAGCGGAACAAAGTGCTTCATGGGGAACTCTTTTCTTTGATGCTTTTCATGATTTCTTCCCAAAAAAAAAGTGCATCAGCTGCTCTGATAATGTAATTAAAACTAAGCCCTATATTACTGTGTAGCTGTAATATGGCAGATAAGTATTAAAATAAAAACTTTAGGAATGGCAGTGATTATAAAGAATGTTCTAAGTTTGGTTTTAAAATTGTTTTTTTCTCTCCTTTTAGCTATTTTATCACTAAATATTGTACTCAAATGTTACTTAGCAGCCACGCTGCCCAGTGCCAAAGCTTAGCGTTTGATTTTCAACATCGTTTTTATTCTGCTGCGTAACAAAATGACATGAACTTTCACTTTGCTCAATCTGAGCAGTGGTTTCGAGCCTGTGCATGCAAATAATGGGATTAGGATTATGGTGCATACACTTCTGAACTATCTAACATCAACCAAATAGTACAGAATAGAGAATGACTTCCTGTTTTAAATATATATTGAAATATGTGCAAAGATCATCAAAGTCTGAATATACACAGATAATAGCAATATTAAAATATTCTTTTTCTGGGTGTTGGTGATAATAAGATAAATGTTAACATTAGTTTGTGTACTGAATAGGTTAAACTGCCAGTTTCAATATATACCATGTTACAAAAAGTTGCCTAGCTGGGCATGGGACTCCAGCGTGGGATTTTATAGACATTTTTAACATATTTTCTGCAGAAATAATCCTGCTTTCGCGCAATTTGCTATTTGAAGCTTAAATTGGTGTTATAAGAAAACTGCTTTCAAATAAGGCTTTGAAATTTTAGGAATATCATGGATATCATCTGGCAATTTTCCTTCAAAAGGTACAATGTATGTCAGATGCTTTCAAATTTACACGTGTGGTAGGGGGAAAAAATATGTTTTCAATATATGGCCATAAGAAAACTTTTCCCTTTGATTGACTTTGATTGTAATTATCCTTATTGCAGCAGAATTAAGTACCTTTCAGGTTTTTGCCATTGTAAATCCTATAATCTAAAGATCCCATCTGCCAGTATCATCAGTCCTGGGTTTTAGAGCAAGACTGGCAAATCTCCAACTTTAGATTTCAAAAGGAGTCTGAAGGATTTAGGTATAAAATGCCGATTTTCAGTGAGTTGGGCCTCTGGCACTCATATGAGATTTATTTTCACTTCTTAAAAATCGGACTGAAACAATCACATGAGCAGGCAGGGTTAAAATCTCGTATACATAAACGCTGATTTGTGAATATTCCAGTCTGTTTTATCCTGAGGCTATGTCTTCCTCCTATCCACTATTTGTATGTTTGGTTTTGCTGTTTTCCTGTTCCTATGTGGGTTTTTTTGTTTTGTACATCATAGTAAGTCGAATATTTGCTGTACACTCTATGTGCAGTGTTAAGCCACTATACTGGTGAGTGTTTTGTGGGATTTGGGACCCTTCTACTGTGTTAGAGCCATCAACCTCAACTGTTGCATGCTCTCTGATCTAGGCAAAGATACCAGCTTCATTAGCATGGTATCACAGCTCCTTATTATCTTTACCATTAAAGCTTTGTATTAGTTCACAGCGATTTCTTTGTAGATTTTTGCTTTGTAAAGCTAGAGGCGTCTGAGAGGATTTGCTGTGGAGAGTTCTGGGTTTCTTTTTGACTGAATTTCTGACTTTTTCATTGATAATAAGCCTTCTTCTTCCTTAATCTGTATTTATAAAAAAAACCCCAACAATGCAAGAAGCAGAGAAGAAAAAAGCTCTTAAACAGTATTATGCAAAATGTTATGGGCATTCATCCTTTTTTCTATAGAAAAAAGTCTGTCAGAAAAGAGAAGCAGCTTTTTTTTGGGTCTGTACAACATGAGTCCATCATTAGGAGAGCAGGAGGCACCAAACACCATTATTAGCGCCCACGAGCCGCATAAACGAGACCAGCCTTGGTGCAATGGGAAATGGTACGTTTAGCTGGGTGACATTAAGAGCTGGATTAATGAACTGAGGCTGTGTTTTGCCAGACTATTGCTGGTTGGTTTCGCTGGCAAAATTCCAGCCTGGATAATTACACCCTCAACCTAAAAATGCTACAGCTGGCTCGGGTTTGCTCCACGTTTCCTGCCCTATGTTGCTGGAGACTGTGCCGTGCTCCTGTTGCAATTAATCCTGGAGAGAGTTGCTATCCATTGGTAGGTATGAGATGAATGTACTGTATCAGTTGCTAAATACTTCATAATGAACACGAACGCAAAGAATATCTAGGTTGAAGATGGTTGTTACTTCAACAATGTGGAAGGGTAAATTATATTTGGATAGCTGTACAAATCTCTGATGATCAACAGCTTTGATTTATGATGTTGAGTTCTAAGAAAACAACTGAAAGAAAGAATATAAGACTAATATGTTGGGTTTTGTTTAGTTTTCTTTTAGTTTCACACAATTTTTGAAAAAAAAGGTAAATACTTTATGCATAAATCTCTTTAAAATCATCTTTAAGTATGTGTTTGTATATATATGTATATATTAGTACCATAATGACAACACTTTGGCCTCATAGGTCTTAAAACAGTCAAAATAGTGAAAGTGAGTTTTAGCTCAAAGCCATCTAAGTGAAATGATCCAATTTCTGTGCCATTGGATACTTTGCTGTAGGAGTTTTTATTCCCATGCTGTCAGAGCTGTGTAAAAGCTCTCCCAGATGGGGGATAAATAAGACCTAGGAAATGCTGATGTTTGTCGTTCCTGTCATCTTACATTAGAGGTGAGGGAGGGCAGACGGTCTTCTGCATATTGAAGTGTTGGGAGATTTTGTATGTTTTGTGGTTATGATAACCCTCAGCCCTGAAACTACAAACCCTGAGAAGTTCAGGGTAGTGAAAAGGAACTCGTAGAAATAAGAAATGTGGGGTGGGGTGGGGGACAGGGGGGGTGTTCTCATAGTGGAGGTGTCTGAATGCAACTGGTCACTTATTGATCATTAAAGAAGGAAATTCCCTGCGGAGGAGATGTTCAGGTTGTGATTCACACAAAATCTACAAAGAACTGAGGTCCACTGGGCTCAGGCCTGATTAAATTTATTAAGAAATAGTTTAGGGTGCTGAGGAAAGCAAGATAAAGAAATAATTACGGTTATGTGAATTCGGTGCTTCTATTAAATGACTTCAGCAGTGTCTGTCTCATAGATATCTGCTAATGGCTGCTTGATTTTCATATAATTTTCCTAGATGTTTTCTGGCATTTAGCTAAAACTTCCATTGAAAACATTATTTATTCTAGCAGCTGGTTATTGTGGTTTAAATTACTGCTTTTCAAGCAGGGCAGGTACAACTTCACACGATAATCTGAAACTATCAATTTCAATGAATATTTCAGTCAAGGGACAGAAAATAGGCATTGGTGGGTTTTGTGTTTGAAGACAGCGTAAAGTCGAGGTAGTTTCAATTGTGTTCATGCAGATTTATGCACAAATCATGAAAAAGAATATGATCCATGTACTCTGTGACTGTCAGGAATCCTGAAGTAGATATCAAAAATAGCCACACAAAAATGACTTTAACATTCTTGGTAACTTTCTCTGCGGTGGAAGATACTAAAATAATATTTTTAATGCTTTACTGCTCTTAACGATATAGTTTTTAAAGGTTTTTAAATGAAGATTTTAAACTAAACCCTGTGAAAGGTGACTTCTTCCTTACTTCAGTTGTCTTCAGTTACCCTGGGAGGAAAGCGGGGAATCTGCATATCTCAGGTGGTGGGAGCAGGCTCCAAAACCACAGAACATATTCAAGATGCCAGATGTTTTTATAATAAATTATAAACCTATTTAAGCTCATTTAAGCTCTTCAATGACATGGAGAGAGACAGACTCTGTCTCAATATTTGTAATGTCACATACACCGTCACAACTGTCTCGGTTTTGTGTTCCTGGAGACTGCCAAACTCTTAGCCAACCACACAGCTTTCTTTGAGTCTTAAAGCAGTGCCCCAGTCCAGCTGGCAGGTTGTATTTTAGGAGACCTTTCCCCATGGTACAATTTTCATTCTGTTACACCTTGTCAGACCAGCAGCTCTTTCCTAAAGCCCAGTCCCTGCAGTGCCTCATTACCCCAGGTCTTTGAGACTTGCTGCCTGGAGGTCTTCACTTTCCTGACTGAAGCAGAAAGTCCCTGCTCAGATTTTGCCTTCCTTTAAACCTTCCCATTCTCTTTAGATTTTTGTTTTCTCCCCGTTAATCCAGTCAGGTTTTCTTTTTCAGCTGCCTTAAAGAGAGCTCTTAGCAGCCATCACTTCCCACAGAGTCTGTGCTGCTCTCCTCTCTACTCCCCCTCCATTTCCCTCTCCTTTTCTTTGCTGCCTTGATGTGGTCCTGCACTGCTTTTGTCTTCCCTGCAGTTCAGGGCCTGAAACTTCCCCTGTCTCATGGTCTCTTTAGATCTTCAGTTCCCTGTCAACCCTTCTTGCTTCTGTCTCGTTCACATCCCCTAGTTCTGTATTCACGTAAGGTCCGTCTCCTTGGCTCTCATTTTCAGTCATGGTTTTGTAATGCAAAGTAAAATATCTTCTTTTTTTAATCTTTTTTTTTCTCCCTTTACTTTACAAACTTAATGTACCTTGTTTTATGCCCTTGGTTTTATTTTTTTTTGTCCTTCCTAGTAAGCCTTACCCTATTTACGTTCCAAGTCCAGGGTGTGAACATCATCTTACACTGATGCCTCAGATGTACTTGCTTAGCAGAGTCATCAGAGCCCTCATTTACCCAACGTACTCACTCTGCTATCCTGATTTAAAAAAAAAAATAAATAAAAAAATTAAAAAAGATTTGTACCCGTTAGTATCTAAAAGCTTTAAAAGCTTTCCTGGAATATTTTGAGTTTACCACTTAAAGGTACTTTAAAAGTATATATATATAAAAAATGTTAGGTGAGCACATTGTTCTTTGGTTCATTTGGTTAATAAGAATTCAACTACTGGATGTAGGCTTGCTCTCGCTGTCTCTGCTAG